CAGAAATTGTTTGTTGTGCAACATTTAACATTTCTGCCACTTGCTTTTGACCCAAAGTGTCATCTCCATCCAATATCGTTTGCAATTCGGCGTCTTCAAACTTTTTTGGCGGTCTTCCACGTTCTTCATTTCTCACATCAAAATCATTATTTCTGAACCGTTGAAACCATCTTTTGCATGTTGCTTCTGCTTAATAGTACTGAGCGAATGGATGAGTTTTACAAGTTCTAAATAAGCCTCGTCTTCATCGATACAATAACATTTTATAAAAAAAGTTTTTTAATTATTTATTCTTAATTAAGAGCAATAATAATTACAGTTCATAATACCCTTATAAATTAGAAGTTAGTCAAATTTTATAATTTCAATCACAAAAAATTGTTTATATGTTTATGATTGCACTCTTTTTTATATTTTTTTTACAGAACAATCATTAATTTCATATTTTAATATGTTATATATCTGTAAGTGCTTCTCTTTAAAGAGGTACTCTATACCACAATTATATAGTGAAATATAATACTAGTATTGTATTAAACAAACAGCAGTGAATTACAATAAATGAGTTTCAAGTGATTCAAGTGATCAAGTGAATTCAAGTGATCAAAAATAAAATTTTTTTTCGTATTCATCTGTTGGGACCTCTCTATTAAAAAAGTAATTTGTTTCATGATATTTTTTTTAATTGTTAAAATTAATAATTTTTCTTTAGTATAAAATTTATTATATCATCATTTACTTGCTGGGACTTCAATTCGCTCGCTTCTGGACTTTCATAAACTCGTTAACTAATTTGGTAATAATTGTAGACAAAAATATAAAAATTAATATTCTATATTCTGGATCGCCGTAAACTCACTAACTAATTTGTTGTTATTTTAAGACAATAATAATGAAATTTAAAACTCAATTTACAAACTCTTATAAGTTTTAAGGAAAAAATTATTTAGCTGAATAAGGCTATATCTGCTGGTTTACTTTCTCGTTAGTTAAGAACTATATAGATAAAAATATAAAACAATCCAAAATCATATAATTTGAATTTAAAAAAAAATTTAAGTATATTAACATATATGCATTGGTTTTTTAACAACGTCATCTCAACAAAAATAAATAAACAATCAACACTATAAAATATATAATATATATAGCACTCAAACTGCCTCCCGACTAACATGCGTCTATTACGTGAAATTTTGTAGTCACCGCATCAACAACATATGAATATCTATGTAATCATATGTATAAAAATAAACCTACACATGTTTTTGTTTTCTAAAGAACTTGACAAGCTTTCTCAATACTGTAGCGCTCGTAAGCGTTCTTTTCGTGTTCTTATTTAAGCTTTTAACTTTGCTGTTCCTGTATTGCCTCAACATTTTCAGTTGTTAAACAACAGCAGCAGTGAGTGGACGTTTTTTGTGAGACTTTGAAGACTTTAAAGTGTACAAATCAATAGTTTGAAAGTAGTTACAGTGAAGTGTTTTCTAATTAAAAAAAAAATTATTACTTTATGCAATAACATATATACAAATATCTTCACATTGAAGTTCTTTTAAAAATTTTGTGATTTTTAAATTTGAAAAAATACACTTAAAACAAAAACAAAAAATAAAAACTTAAATACAAATAAATAATTATAAATGCAATTAAAAAGAATTAATTTAACTAAACAAATAAATTAAAAGATTTACATATTGTTTTATTCATGCAAATTTAATTAATTAAATTAAAATGCCGGTGGATATAATAGATACGAGGTAATAGCTGCTTTAGTAATTTATTCCAAAATAAATGTATATTTAATTGCTTTGTGTATAACCTTGATTAAAAAGTAGTAACAAATAAAGCACTTTTAAGTCTGCCACAAACAAAGAAGTAATTAAGTTAATTTATTCATGATCCAGGAGTCGCCGTAAATAATCCCTTCCTTTCTTAATATAAAATTAATATCAAACAAACATGCCATTTTCGAAACGACAAACGCTCGTATTGACTTGATGTCCTGGTGAATAATTATGGTCCTTAGGGTAGATTGATAAACTACAGGGACATAGGCTCCCAGTTGAAAGGAATACTGCGGCCATAATAAATCGCTTCTACTAATAGTCATTACGGTAGCATAAAAAGAAAAACAGAAATAATTAGTTTGTGTACCTTTTCCGTCAAACCTAATAAAAACTGATTAATTTCCAAAAAACCTGCTTATAACATTAAGTATAGTTATAAAACTTGTTCAAATGTAACTTTCACATATATATATATATATTAGAAAATACATTTACGAAGTACTTTCTTTGAAAGTATTAAAAAAATAAATTCCATGAAGTTAATTAAGATATTAATTAATGCTCAAGTACATGTGTGAATAAGCTGAACAGAATGAAAAAGAAATATATCTTGATATGACTAAAAGCTGTCCTAATCTCACTTAAGCATGAGTTACGTCGAAGTTACTCTAATACTTGGACACAGATGTATATCCAAGCCAATGAAAACATACAAGTATTAAACATTAAAAAAATGCATGTATGGATATAACTAGATGCATCCATCATTGGGTGCTTGCCAAAAACGGCTAAAAGGGTTTTAAACATAAATTACATAATTAGGCTTTTATGTGCTATGATAAAAAAAAATCGATTTCGAATAAAAGATTATGGCTGACTATTGGGTTCTTTTGGGGATTCTTGTGGCTAACCTATGAGTGATAAAGAATATTTTGTTTTAATTCAGTTGAATTAAATTTTCGATAGACTATAAGGTTTGTCCAGAGCTGTTTGAGGTAAATTTGTTTACATTTTTAAAATTTTAAACTAAAATTCATGCATTTTTAAAATAGGTTACTGCAAGTGGAACTAAGTTGCGGTCAAATTTATTATATAGTTTTTATTTTATAAATTTGTTCTATACAGGTAAAAACGTAAAGACCTGCATATGTTATATACGTCTCTACCATGTTCGATTTATATATATATGTATATATATATATATATATATAGGTCTCCCCGCATGGAATTAAACTAAAAGTCATGCATTCTTAAAATAGGTTACTGCAAGTGGAAGCATGTTCGATTTCTACAAGAAACTCTTTGTACATATATATATATATAGATATGCAGGTCTCTATATATATATATACATGTTTATGCCTCCGCATGGGCTTAAACTAAAATTCATGCATTCTTAAAATAGGTTACTGCAAGTGGAACTAAGTTACGGTCAAATTTAGTATATAATTGGACAATAAAAATCTTATAAAACTAAATAAAAATTAAAACTAAAAAAAAAGATCATTATTTAATAACTGACCAATTAGCCCGTGAAAAAATTATTTTTAAAAAATTTCTTTTAGTCATTAAAGCATTTAATTAATATGTTTGTTCTATAAAGTTAAAAACGCAGAGACCTGCATATGTACGTCTATAGAAGCATGTTCGGTTTCTGCAAGAAATTCTTTGTATATATAACAAAAATGTTATTGGGGATATCTGGTCATATTTTGACTCGTTAAATAGTTTTTGCCGGTCAATTCGGTTTTTAAACCGATTAAAGTCAAGTTAACAAATTTTAACTCTTTGAAGATCAGTAGCAAAACACACAGCCTTCGCTACAACTTCTTCGATGTCTGATATACTGCGTTATAACTACCTAAATAAACTTATTATGTCATTAACATACTTTTTGCAGGAAGAATACATTAATATATCCTTTATTATGTGTAGAAAGATAAGAGATAATGCATCACAATACAAGATCTTTTTTATCGATTTCGATTTGTAGATATAAGAAATATTTCAACCATTATAATGTTATAATATAAAAAGTATTATTATACTTAGAATATATCAGGTCAAACAATACATAAAGGACAGAGCCCAGAAGCTATATGCAAAAACCGATAGGCTGGCTGCCCCACTTAGCACTATCTTATCTCAGAGTAATCATTAACCACACGGGGCGGTACGCAGATCTTAGATCAGTCATTAAATAATCACGAAGCTTATGAGGTATACACAAATTAGTCAGTGAGATGGGTGGGACTCTGCAGAAACCCCCCAGCTATCAAAGAGTAAAACTGACTAGATGCATTAACTCGGAAAGGCTCAAAATAATAATAATAATAATAATAATCTGCTTATAATAAAGTACATATATATATGAGAAGGATATAATATTTATACAACACTTTATTATTTAATGAATATTAAAATACGATTTTTTAAATATATAAACTTAAACACTGACTGGGGTTTGCATTCTTTGTTAGAATTACTTCACTCATACGAGAATTATTGTAAATTGTTTAAAATTCTAATACAATAAAAAAATCTAAGATATTATTAATTTATTATCGGTACTGGAAGTAAAAATAGATTCAACAAGTTTGTTTTCGAATAACAAACATAAACGCTTATTCAATTGATTAAAGCGATTATTTCATATTATTTTTTTATTCAATAGTTTTTTATGAGCAAATTAAAATTGTTTATATATATTTATACATAATTGTTTTCAATACAAATATATGTAGATATATATTTATCTTATTTATTTATTTGACCTTGCTTCCTTGATATTCATGAAGTTTTCGTAAGCGCGCATAAAGAATTTTCAAAACAATTTTTTTTTATAATAAAATTGTTGGCAATTAATGATTTTGTTTGGAATTTTAAAAACAAAATTTAATTAAATTTTATTCTAAAAAATACACACAATATGCAAGTATTTAACTGAAAACTTAAGTACACAAAATCCATTGTTATTTTTCGCTTTTATGTATTTTTGTAGAAATACCAGAGCTTCATTGATTAAACAAACTCAAATATATGTCTGTATGTATGTATATATGTAAGCATATGTGTGTTAATGTAAATGTTTTGAAATCATTAGTAAAAATTAGAACAAAATGTCAAAACAAATATTTGCTTATACGATAAGTATTTATGTTGATTTTTATACAAAACTAATATGTATTTATATCTCTTTTCTATTTGCAGAACTACGAACAGTTTGTTCACACTTAACCAAGAAGATATATCTTCATCCCCTTTTATCTTACCTCCTACAAGCAAATCCTGCAGCATGAACAAACTCTGCCGTCAAGTGTCAATTGAATCACCTGGACCAGTTGCAAAGAACTGTGTCTTCAACTTCTATGTACCCATTGAAGATACACCACCTATGGGTGCTCGGATTAAAATTGTATGTGCTGGTGCTTGTTATAGGCGTCGAGATCGTGCAGCATCTCTAACAAGTATGTCATCCGTTTCATCTGACCTTAGCGATTATTGCCCTTCGATAACAACACAAACATCACCAGCACATCAAGGTATACGTGAGGGTTCTCTATTTCCTGGTTTCGAAGTAGCTGGCGTTATTGAATCATTAGGTTCAGAAATAACAGAAGCCAATAATTGTGGTCTACAAATTGGACAACGTGTAATAGTCTATCCATTTGATGAAGCCCCAGCGGGTTATGCCGAATTAATGGTAGTACCAGATCTCAAAAATATTGTTCCAATACCAGATAGTTTACCAATAAGTGTAGCTGCCATGCTACCAACAGGTGCTCTTTTAGCAATGAATGCTGTATTCAAAGCGCATGCCATTGTCACAGAAATGCTTAAGAAGCGTTCAGCTGAACAAAATAATAAAAAATGTAAAATTCTAATTGTCGGGACTGGTGGTCTTGCTCTATGGGCTGTACGTATCGCTTCCTATCATTTTGCTTCAACTGGAGCAAATAATTTTATTGATGTAACAGTTGCTAGTCTAAGAGATGAAGGATTCCGTTTAGCAACAGAAATTAAAGAGTATGTTTTTTGAAATATATATAAAATAGTTCATAATTTTATTTTAAATCTATTTAATATTTACAGTGTTAGTGTAGTTCAATGGAACGAATGCCTCTACGAACCTCAACTAATAGAACGTACAAAAGATGTTTGTGGTGGTCCTGTTGACGTAGTTATTGATTTTGGCACAACTTCTAGAAGTCTGCACCGCTCAATGCACTGTCTCTCCAAGGTATATAATTATTAATTTGATTTTTTTTGTGTTTCATTATTTTTATACATATCATAAGAAGATATGTTGGGATATTTTTTTGTACAAGTATGCGGTATTACAAATTTACATATTTTACATTTCGTCAGTACATGACAAGAATTTTAAAAAACTTCAATATATTTTGGTGCAATTATTAAAAGAGATTTAAGACTAGAAAAAATCTTAAGATTATTATAACGTGCCTACTCTTTTAATCTTAGTCTTGTGTTCCGAGAGTCTGGCTGCCGTCAGTATCTATATATACTTCGGAAGACACCTTTCAATAGATCATAATATTTAATAATCATTTTTATTAATTCAAAAATTTATATTTACATTTAAAGTTTCTAATCTTTATTTAAAAAAGATTAGAAATGCATATAAATTTAGAAAAAATAGAATGCATCAGCCTTGAAAATCTAAATTGTTTTTTTTTAACTATCTTTACATTTTTATGGAATCTTTTATCAAAGCAGAATTCCTGCTTAAATTTCAACATCAAAGTCATTAGACATCATCTTATATTATCTAGTGACTATTAAAACTTTTCAATTTTTTTTAACTTAACCAAAATATGAACTGAGTTTAATTTTCCCCCTACCGCCGATCTAAAGGGACCCTAACCCTAAGGGGTATTGGCCCATTATGTTACCATATAAGGGAAAATTTAGATAATTGAAAATCACCTTATCCTTTATTAAAAAGTTTAGTAGAGAAAGAACTCTGCAATGTTATGCAGGATGCTAACAGTATACCCATATTATTTAAATGTTCCAAATGATTTTCTGAAGCACCCAGTCTCGCTAGCTTATCTACTTTGCAATTTCTAAACATTCACACCCTTCCAATCTATTTAAATTGCTTTCCTTTTATGGTTGTAGGGTTTCTCATCCATACATCCAATAGTAGCTTCTCAATACGACCTTCATCTTCACATATTTTCCTAATCATAATAAAAATAATACTGAAACTAAATAAATATTAAACAATTTATATATTGATTTTTCAGGGTGGTGTTGTACTTATTAGTGATGAAGTTGCCGAAAAATTAATGCCGAAATTCTCACGCTTATCTAATGAATATCAACAAGAGATTATACCAATATCGAACGGTTCAGTAAATCAATTACATGATTTAGTTACATTAGTTGCTAATAAAAGTGTAAGTAGTAAAAACTTAAAATTTGCATCTTGAAATGTGTATATTAATATATATATATATTCTTTTTTTAAATTTAGATTGAACCTCCTCCACATTCGGTTTTCCCATGTGAACAAGCTGCAGAAGTTATACAAAAGTTGTGCAATTCAGAAATTCCTGGACGTGCCATATTACGTTTCCACGATATTGAATAAGCATTTAAAAAATATTTAAGTAAAACTTAAGTTTAATTATTGTATTCATAACCAAAATATCTATCACTTAAATGATTTTGCATATTAGTATTGAGCATTTTGATATACTCAAAATTAAGGTAAATAATTCGAGCAGGTGCGATGTTATCTCATTGATTGTTAGTACTAAACTAGTTTAAAACACTAAATTGTTTTTTCGCTTCTATGTTAGATCGCACCTACACTTAATTGAACTTTAAGTTTAGTTTGATACAATTGAATAGGTATTTAACAATTAATTTTTATATTTATTTTTTTATTTTTTATTGTATATAAAATATATATTATATATATATATATATATATATTATGTATTAAAAAAAATTTTTTTTGGCTTTATTTATGCATTAGCATTAACTTTATTATCATTTTTTCTACTGCTTTTAATATATGTAAGATGTATAAGAATAGTCGTTATATATTGTTTATTCCAATATAAACATTTTAAGATATGAAATAATTAGATATGTAATAATTTTTTATATTTAAATTTTTATTTTATTTTTATTTATAAGCGCAATTCACATTTTTTTAAAATAATTCTTATAGCATTTATGAAGAATCTTGAAAGTTTTGTTATTGTTTTTTTATATTATTTCAAGACAATAATTCAAATAATATCATGACTACATAATTCATATATTTCAATTCTATGTTTTAATAATAATAAATAAAAAAATAGTTTTTATTATAACAAAAAAAAAATTTATGTCAGTGAATTTTAAGAAAGAAAAATTTAAATGTTTCATTATACTTTATTGTTATTGCGAGTAGTATTTCGCTCTTTATATATAAATTAAATGTTATTTATCTTTGCGGAATTCTAAAAAGAAATTCTTTTATAAACTATTACAAACACCTCAAAATCAATGTATGTTTAAGGCAAAGATGTGTAAAATAAAAACGTAATTTGCATATATAATCCATTTTATATTGTTGTTTTATTTAGTAATTTATACAGTGGGCGCTTACAAAAACTCTACGATTAAAATGAAAAAAAAAATTGTTGTTGTAGTTCACTATTGTTCGAAACCTCTCTATTAAATACAATAAATACAAGCAACATTAAAATGCAATTTAAAATTTTGAACATATAATAATAAAAACTTGCTTATGTATATAAATATATATATTAAAATATAAAGCACAATTAATTATTAAACAATTTAGTGTTTACTAATATAGGGAATAAGGGATTCATTGCTACAATAAGCCACAAGGATGTCTACACTACCAAGCATATTAATAGCATTTATACTAACAACAACCACGGTTACGCTACTACCAGTCAAACCTGACATTTGTATGACAGCTAGCATAAAATTTTATTAAATATCATTTTTAAATTCTTCATGGTTTTTTAACAGAGACAGAATACATGTCTTTTTTTTATGTTTTTGGCACACACTTCGCAAAATTTATCACCAAACGCGCCTAAAGATAAACTTCAATAATTTGCATCTAATTGTATTTAATAGTTAGGATGCAATACAAGTGAATATACATACGTAAGTCCTTTATTTCGAAAAGGCGTTTAATACCATGATTCTTAGTATGGGTTATGGTACACGATTCTTAGTATGGTACGATTTATGAAACATTCATTACAAAAGCAACAAACTTAACATAAAATTCCAATATTCTATTTTATAATGTAGGTTCATAGCATTAATAACGATTATAAATATTGGGTTTCAAGAACGAACGGATCGACGTTCTGTTCTTATCACGCGAAGAAATAAAAATAATTTTACGACATTTTAAGAAATTAAGAGAGTTCTTAAATTGTTACGTGTAGGTATACCATCGATATCATCGTCAATTTCTTCTGATGGAATCAAAGTATTTGAGCGACATTCAGCGTCAGAATTTCCAACATACATATCTGTGGTGAGATCACTAATGTATTCTGATGTTTTATATGAATATTTATGATGTTTTATGAATATCACTTTTGAAATTGCTTGCACTGTTCCTATGTCTATATGGTTCAGAATTTTAAATTTTTGCTTAAGAATTAACAAGGTTTGCTCTATAAACAATCTTGTCGAGTTTAAGCAATAATTAAATTTTTTTTCATCTACACTGAGGTATCCGTTGTCCCTGTACGGAACCATCACAAATTTTGAGAGAGGGTAAGTAGAATCACCTAAAATTACTGCATTTGGTGCTAGTTTTACTTTTCCTTTAGCTATTGCTTTGAAAATTAGGCTGTTTTTCCACACATTTGCGGCATGACAACTGCCTGTATTTCCAATAAAAACATCCAAAAAGCGTAACTTGCTATCGCAAATGGCCTTAGATATTTAAATAGTTAACGCAAATCAAAATAAAGTGAAACTCAAATACTAACCTCCATAAAAATCGAGTTATGAACGACCCATTCGAAAATAACTGTGAAAAATATCATCAGAATATTGTTCTATTACATTAAAATATTCACAAATTTTTGGAATTTTCGTAAACTCCAAACATAGAGTTTGCAACAAAATTCTTCTCTTCTTTATTCTACTAAAAATTATAGCAAACTGAAATTATAGAAATGAAATTTTCTTATTAATAATGATTATTGCTAATTAGTTTAAGTAGACTAGGTGCAATTTCAATAAAATAAAAAAAATTAATAATGATTAATTAAAAAACATAATTTATAATATACAGAATGCTATTAATTAATTTTAAATAAATAAATACTATTTGATTTTATAAGAAAATTTATAAAAAAATCATTTGTATATTATTGATATTACTAAGGTTTAAAGAAAATTAATCTAAATATTATTCTGAATTAAAATTTCTACTATTGTCCTTATTTGAAGCACTACTTTTTAAACAAATTACAAACAAAATTAATAATGCATAAAAGGTTATAAATTATTTAAAAACAAAAAATAATTGATGTCATAAAGTTAATATAAAATTTAGTAATATATCATTTAAAAAAGAAATTGCAGTTCCAATGAATTAAAATTTTCAAATATTGTCTTAATCTTGTATTTTTTTACCGTGAAGAGTACTCAAGTTAACATATTGATATAAACTCCATTCATTAAATCCTTTTTGGCAATATAAATATATAATGACAATTTAAATATACTTAAATAATGTTAAATTTTTCCCGCACATTTCCATTGCTCTCAAATACATTGCGCGTATCTTTCTGTTTTGAATTGTTTAACAACAATAGCAAAACCAAAACAAAATCTGACAGCTGATAAGATTAGCCGCTGTTCGGTAATTAAAAGATAAAGAAGAAGCGAAACTGAATATATTTTATGGAACTCATCTATATAATTCAAATGCACATCATCAAAATGTTGCTATTATGCAATAAAAACTCTTTTAAGATGCATCCACAAAAAAGCGAACGAACGAACTTTTACGATTACCTCCGAATGTTCTTTTTTTCGCTTTGGTGTGAATGCACCTTTAAGTAGACATTAATCATCAGTTAGCTTCTTTTAATATAAAAAAGATTAAATTGTTTCAGTTGATGGTAAAAATTATATTTGGTTTTGAATAAAAATTGTTCGCTTAAGAGGGATATCAATTCTACACTCTGTTTGCGGAAAATGTTTGCCATGTTAAAGATTTTAATACAAGGAGCTATTCTAAGTAAGTATTTCCATTACGTCGCATATCTTAGTTCTCGAGATAGCGGGCTTTGAATTACATATTTTTATATAGAATCACCAATAACAACTAGAAGTAATTTATATAATCAATTTAAAAATTTCATCTAAAAGTTGTTGCTAAATGTAAAACTCACTGCTCTATACTCCAATATATCATAAATTAAAATTTGTTAACATATGGAATAGTAGAAGAGGTTATTTAATATAGTGAAATTTAAAAACAGGTCACATCTTTAAGTTGATGCTTCAATCATAACAGGTATATTCTACGAGATACTCGTAGTAAAACTCAAGTAAAACACAAGTAAACTACAAAATGAGAGCGTAAAACAAATAAAATGCCAAATTACGCTCTTTATACAGATTTTCAGCTTTGTGTAAAATCTGGTGAGAACACCAGTGCCGTGCAAATAAACAAGGCAAAAATTTGAATTCAAACAAAAACAGTTGATTCACACATGTACACAAATTTTATTTGAAATAAAATGTACGAGTTAAGTACGAGTTTTCAATTTTCGACAGGAATGTTACGCTCTCTCAGATGCTCTCACTTAATCGAAAATTTGCTGGTGCAACGCACTTATGTATACGCAGTGTTACTGGAACAGATCTATTATATAACTTGTTATAGCAATGTCATCAAACTTAAAATAACGCTAGGGTTATTGAATTAAACCGCGGGACTACACTTGAATTTATTACTGTTTTTGTTAATCGTCACACATATAACCAATGTAAAAATTTCATGACTTGTTTCCGATAAATGCCGCATCAATTATGTTAATGAAATTGAAACAGTTTGTAACTATAAATCTTAGATCAAGATCTAAGAAATTCACATGAATCGATGAAAAGTAATTTAAAATAATTTACGACCATAACACAAAATTCATTGCCAAATAAAAACGTCTGATAGCTTAATTGAACATAAAGACGACTTAATTGATATTGTCCAGATATATAATATATTTACATTTTCCATTATCAAACCTCATTATTATATTTATGTATTAATTTTGTTGCAAAATGGTATTACTTGCTGTACATATATGTGGTAATTGCATTATTATGATTTTTCTGTTACTGTGAAGTACTCAATAATTCCCAATCATCGTTAATGCTTTGTTTTAATTACATGGTTATTATGCACTTTTAATATAAAAAACATATAACATAAATTCAGATTAATAAATAATTTCTATACATAATAAAAGAAAAATTTTAACGGGCGATATTTATTTTTGTATGGTCTGCCTATATAATCATACATTTACTTCAGCCTTCACTCACACAAAACACACTCACACATGAAAGCTGCTGCTTTATTGCGCGCCAAAACATACTTTGAGAACCTTTGTTTTGTGTCAGCAGCTGAAAATTGGGTTAATATTTTTTTTATTTATTTTATTTATTGGAGCATTGTATTTAAAAATTTATTTTGCTGAGATATCCAATAAAAATTAAAGAAGTCAAAAATGGTAATTAAAGAGTTATTTAGTTCAAATGTTAGTGTTAAGTGGATAGGAAGTCAAGCATTACATTTTGAAGCAACGAATTTGAAAAATAAAAACGTTTCTTATTACACCAAATGCATTATTGGAGCACTAACTTTAAGTGTGGGCGATTTCGTACTCGTGTCTAATGCAGATGCAGCTGAACCGGATACTGTTGAAGGTTGTGATATAGCAAAAATAATTTGCCTGTATGAATTACATGAGGACATGTGCAAAAAGGATCCTTACCGTGCATGTGTACAGTGGTATTCACGTCCTCAATGTATTCCTCATAAAGAATTTGACACTGATAATATAAATATAGACTTTAATTGTGAAGTTATAGAAGAACATCGACCTTACGACGCTGATATTTCTTTGGAGACAATTTTTCGTAAGTGCCTTGTCGTAATTGGCGAAGTCGAAGATACTGCGTCCAAAATTTTAAATAATCTCAACTCATCACGTAGTACATGTCCAATGTTTGTTTGTCGATATAAATTTATTAAAGTAAAACAATATTATCGGTTAGTTCCGCTACAGTACAGTGAAGAACCATTAGATATTGAAAGGAATACCGTCAGGAAAACGCGTCGCAATAGTTGTTTTACAGAATCTACAACCAAAGTTCAAATAAATAATGACAACAGTAGAAGAGTGCGGTCAGCACATAAAGAAAAATCTCGAAATACCGATAATATTAAACGCAGACGGGCTTCTATGTGCGCGTCAAGTGCACTAGAATTTGTCGATATTAGTCAATTTTCTACTGAAAATAAAGTTTCGCCAATAAAAATAATTGGCGGACGAAGTGTGGTAAAACTTTCTGCTAAAAAGAAAAAGGAAGAGGTGAATGCTAATTATCTCATCACATCTCCGCTAACTGAGAAGAATCACAAAGTTCCAATACATAACTCTAGAGCTTCAGCAGCTAGACGCAATTTAAATTTAAGCCTAGAAAAAGAAGGAAATGTAACAGCAGATTCTGATTGTCTAAATTATTCCATTGTTAAGCCGGTTGAAGATGAACCATCATGCAACAATGAAATTAAAATTAAATTACGAATTTCAGAAACGTAAGTAAAATATTTATAAGAAGCATAAACATTTTTAAAAAATTATTAACCATAATTGATTTAAATTGAAATTATTTTAGGCGGCGCTCTAACAAGTTTAAATCTATTGATGAAGATCCTTTAGCATTAGCAGATAGTGCTTCACATGAAGACACGCAGAGCAGTCGTAAACGCTTAGGTATTATTGATAATTCTACACCGAATATATATAAAACGCCATCAAAGAAATCAAAAGATACTGATATAAACTCTGAGATGACACCGCGGGTCACTGCTACGCGAAGAAAAAGCATTTTAAAATCAGCAACAAGTCGTCCAGGTAGGAATATAATAATTTAATATAATATTAAAATTTCTAATTTCATATTTTATTTATATATCTTAGCTGATGGAACACCAAAACGCAGTATACAGCTATCGAATATTGTGGAACGTAGAATTTTTAATGATAATGATATAGTTAGCACACCAAAACGATCGCGCAATACTAAAAATGATAATGTCGATGTCGAAACTCCAAAAACACCAAAACGTAGCTCTCGTAAATCCGACATGTATGAAGAAAAAACTCCAAGCAAACGATCTTCTATGACAGCGACACAAAAATTAAAGCTTTTACGTTCTGGAGAACTAAGTCCCACCATTGAAAAACGCATAACGTTCTCATCAAAACAAAACAAAAATGATTTGCAGCTAGCACGAGAACAGCTACACGTATCTGTAGTACCAAAGAGTCTACCATGCCGTGAAAAAGAATTTGAAAATATTTATACTTTTTTAAGAGGAAAAATAGAAGATCAATGTGGTGGCTGTATGTATGTATCTGGTGTGCCTGGAACTGGAAAAACAGCAACAACAACTGGTGTTATACGTACACTGCAACGCGAAGCAACTGAAGAAAATTTACCACCATTTGATTATATAGAAATTAATGGTATGCGTCTAACAGAACCAAGACAAGCATATGTACAAATCTATAAACAATTGACTGGTAAAACTGTTTCTTGGGAACATGCACATACATTACTTGAAAAACGATTCACAACATCAGCGCCAAGACGTGTTACCACAGTATTGCTTGTAGATGAACTTGATATACTTTGCAACCGACGGCAAGATGTCGTATATAATTTACTCGACTGGCCAACAAAATCACAGGCACGTTTAGTAGTCGTAACAATAGCCAACACAATGGACTTACCTGAAAGATTATTAATGGGTATGTAATGTAGTGATGATAAATCAAATTTGTTTTCAAATATATGTTTAATTTTTTCAAAATTAGGTAAAGTAACATCGCGATTGGGACTTACGCGTCTTACTTTTCAACCATATACACACAAACAGCTACAAGAAATTGTTACGGAACGTTTAAGTGGTTCGGATGCTTTCAAAAGTGATGCCGTACAACTTGTTGCGCGGTAAGCTTTAATTGAATTTCATACATTTAAATCTATAACTACCTTGAAAAAGAATGTCAATTGAATAATTTAGATGATTAAAAAAAAATTAGATCGAAATATCTAGTCCACGTCCCGAAATCATTGGTCTTCTAAGACGATTTAGTGTCGCTCAGTAAGCCAGTAGCCAGAGTTTAAGGTTGAAAAGGTGAAAATAAAAATATTAATCTAAATTTTGTTTTTTTTTATAAGCGGTTGATCAAATCATTCTGATCAATAGTAATATTTCAACTGTCCTTGAAGTAATTCTATAAATTTCAAGAAGAGCTTTTATATTTTATACTATAGTTGTTCAAAAACAGACGTTTGAAAACCGAAAAATAAGAATAGTTAAGATTGCTAAACACCTGTATGAAATAGTCGACATTAAGTCCTTGTTACTTGGGACTTATCATTCTGTATTGTAAAATGAACCACAATAAGCTTCTAAACACATTTTACAAAATATTTTAGAAACATATTTAAAAAGGAATATTGTCAGAAAGTCGTTCACGCCATTGTTAGCTTTAAGCTTGGACACTATCACTGATTTTTGATATTAGGCTAGATTAGACTAGTTGTAAGCCTTACATAGACCTATTGATCACTAGCAATACCAGATAGAGTTAAAACTCTTCACAGATTTTGTAATTAGCATCTAGAATTACATACTATAGTTATTGCTAAGAGTTATTAAGTTGACGATCGCAAGTACTTACGGAGCTCATATTATTAAAACGTAGTAAAAGTGGTTATATATTCTTCAAGACATGATTGTATATAAATGTTAAATTTAACAGATCTAACAAGAACAAGCACGTATACATGGGGCAGAAAATAGATATGTGATGATGGTGTCAGATTAAACGGGATTATTTAAGAGTAGGTTAGGCCTATAGGTTAAAGTTTCATGCTAAAGACATATTGGCTAAAGTCTTCCTATTCAAAATAACTTGAGATTTTATACATTAATAATATATATATTTCATATATTAATACTGATAATTTAATCTAAAAAAAATATTTAATTTTATTTACAAAATAAATTTTGGATCATTCTTAAATTTTGAATAAATTCTTTGGATCATTCGACCGTTTGAAAAATTATATTTGTAGAAAATATAATTAAAAACAAAATTCAATATAACTGTTCTCCATTAAATTCTATATATGTTATGCTGTTTACTATTTCAGTAAGGTTGCTGCAGTCTCCGGTGATGCACGACGTGCTTTAGACATTTGCCGTAGAGCTACCGAAATTGCTGATGCTTCTTTTGACGCCAACAATAAAACAAAATTATGTGTAAATATGGCACATGTACAACAGGCTTTAGGTGAAATGATAGCCAGCGCTAAAGTACAGTCCATAAAGAACTGTTCACGTCTCGAGCAACTTTTCCTACAAGCCGTCGTTGCAGAAATAACACGCACTGGTGTAGATGAAACTAATTTTATGAGTGTCTACCTACAGATTGAAACAATAGCTGCATTTATGGGAGTAACTGTACCTACACCAGGTTCGTTGCATATAAATTCTTTTTGAATTCAGATTAAAAATAAATATTTATTAATTACTTAAAGGTCGTGCATTGCGTATCTGCTCAAAATTGGGCTCAGAACGACTAATCATTTGTGAACATTCGCGCAATGACATTTTTCAGAAGATTCTGCTGAACGTGAGTATGGATGATATACATTATGCGCTGCGAGTAAATACTGAATCATAGTACAAAATACAAGAATAATAATAAAATAACAGAATTTTAACGTCAACGTTAAAACATTTATTTAAATAATTTAAAGTACAAATTTGTTAAGGCAAAAATAAAATAAAACACGAAAACATTATAAACTTCGTAAAAAAATTTTGGTGCAAATACTGAATATATAAAAAGATGATAACGAAATATCATCATTAAACCTAAATATGCTGCAACAGGCATTATAGTTGATATTGTATACAAGGATATGACATATTGCAATTGTTTCTCATTCACGATCACCAACGCACTATTTGTGACTTGTTCTTTCTCTTCACGGCGCGGCATTTGTTTGGCTTGTATACTAAAAGTGTGTAGAATTAAATAGAGAAAGGCAACTATATATGCACAGTAAGTATTAAGCGTCACGAATGTGCCCACAATAATAGGATTGTAACTGGTTTGACCAATATAACCTGGATTAAGGTCAATTGTTGCTAAACTATTTGAATTACCCTGCAAAATAAAAATATATTGTTAATAAGTTTATACAAAAATTAAAAAAAAAAAAAACAAAAATAAGAATTAAATTACAAAATCGTCATAATTTATAAATGTGGTACGTGTTATTTAAATTATATCATATTCAAATTTTTTAGTCAACATGAACATATAAATTAACATCAAAAACAAACTTCGAATCGTCTGATCTATTCGGTTTTACATCCTATAGTTCAAATAATAAAATATTTATATTTTTAATTTTATGAATTTATAATTCGAATATTTAATTTGGAAACAAAAATATGTTTCGAATCATCTGAACTATCCAGTTTTGCATCAAATACTTTTAATATTAATATATTAAGATTGTTATTTTTTATAAATTATAAATTAATTGATTTTAGTTTTTATAGACATCTTAATTATATTATTATATATACATTAATTATACTTTTTCTTTTTTTTTTGTTATGTGCTGTATTGAAACTACATCTCATTTATTAATCAAATAAAAATGTGGTATATTAAGACAGTTAAACTAGCTTTGGATTTGATAAGGATATATATACATTATATAAGTATATATGTCATTCAACTGCCTATGCAACTGAAGTATATTCGTATAGATATTAAATTCGCTTACCTGATAAAAGTAGAACATTTTAGCAACAAATATTGTTAAAACTGTTTTATAAGCCAGCACATGTAACTGATTATCTCGCCAAAACCTTTGGTTATGTAAGTTATCACACAGAGAATATGTCACTTGCAATACAAATACCAGTGCCGGTACTAAAATAACATTGTGGGGTTTATGCAATAAGGCGGAGACCAGTAGAAAGCAACTAAAATTTGCATTTAATATTTTAATAAGATTTGGCTTTCTTGCATATCCATAAGTTTTTTTCCCGAAAATAATTTTAGCATATGGAATTATTGCTAAAATAACTATGCTTATCCAAAATAACATCAAAATTACATATTTGCTATGGTAATAAATGATAAAATTGTTAAGAATTATTATTATAAATTAATAATACATGAAATGGTACTCACTTATGATCCTCCGATTGAACTAAGTTCACAGTTCCACTGGCACCACGAAAACAGTAAATACACATTGTAGCGAAAAAGCAAGGAACGATTTCTAATGGTCCATTCACATTTTTAAGTTGCATTAATAGCATTACCAGTCCTAAGCAAATAATACTAATTTTAGATTATATTACTCATAAAAGATATAAACTATTTTAACGCACCAATAATAAAAAATAAAGTTAAAGCGGCTTTATTATCATGTTCATTTAAAATATCACCTAAATCTATTAAGTCTTTCCATCTGTCGCCTGTTTGATTAAGCTTTCTCATCAACGTTACCACTATAAGCATTTTTATATCGGAACGCATTTTCCAAATAGTTTTATGTATATTTTTAAAAAGAAAATATTCCTGGCCAATATTACTTTCAATTGTAGCTTTTCTAAATTTGTTCATAAAAAGTAATATAAGTGCGGTAGCTCCTAAATAATACCAAGTTTGATGTTCCTCCTCAATGAAAGATGATGAAGCTAATGAACATGTATGGAATATAAAACAAGCCAATAGTGGTATTGGAATGGACAACGCCATCTGCATAGATTTATGCATCGGTAAAATAATTTTAAATATCATTTTTACTATGTTTATACCAAAATATATGGCTATAGACATTGACAGCGTAATGAAGCCGGCATTTAATATATGACTTGTTTTTATTATAGCTTTGTAATAACAAATTAAATAAATAAATATAGCAACACAAAGTGAAAGCATCAAACGTTTATATTTCGGAAAGTTTTCCAATTCATAATTTGATTCTGTGAAAAGTGCAAAAATTAATATATACCCAGTGGTCTATATAAAAAAAGAGTATAATTAGTTTTAAATAAAACATATTATTTTGTTATTTACTTACCATGGTAGTTAATGTGAGACCAATTGCTATAAAGTCGTAATGAAATCGAACACGAGACTCTGAAAGTAATGTCGATATAGTTCGGGACGAACGAACATAATTGAGTTTCGCTTGCTCAAAATCGAAGCTGCTTTGTTCCTTTTTATTACGCAACTTAGATAAAAAGTCAAAATGGGCAGACTTTGCTTTTAAAAACCAACTTAAATATTCTGAGATAGACAAAGTTTTGTTTAACATGGCAAATTAATATTAAAATAACAATTTCCAAACCTGTATCTTGTTGCCCATATCGTCGTTTCGTCAATTGTAAAAGTTGCTTTGTATTATAATAAAGAGCATAGAGTTGATCTTCATATGTTAAGTCTTGCAACATCTCTAAAATTAAGCATCCAACTGAATGTTTTGGTATATCAATGGATAAAAGCACCGCCAGAGTTGGAACAATATCAATTTGTTTATATTTAACATTATTGCTAAATATTTAAGAATGATTTTAAATATCAACAAAAATATTGCTTGTTTTACTTACATGAGATTCTTTGCGGTACAATTCTTTTTAAAAACACTTAGTGGTACAAAACGTTCCTCTGTTGTACTGCCGCCATGGCCACCACCATTTCGCATTCCATGATCTGCTGTTATCAATACCAACTGATTATGAAAGTTCTAGCATAACGAAGAATACATACAATTAATATTTAAGATTAATAGATAAAGATGGACATATATATAAAAAATTATTAGTAATATGTTTACGATTATCAATTCAATATATTAGAATTATATATTATTATCACTCAAATTAATTTAACTTGTGTTATGAAATTACCTGACCGTTGTAAATTTTCTGCACAACTTTATCCATTTCATTTAATTTCTGAAATATTCGTGAACTAGTAGAACCTTCAACATGGCCAATATGATCTAAACCTAAATAATGTAATATAAGCATATTCCAATCATACAGAGTCAGTTCTTTCATTAAATATTGTGTGACATTTTTGTCGCCCTATTATTTAATACAAAACGCTTTAACCAGCGATTAAAAAATTTTATATAAATTTAACAAACCTCATAAAAGTCGTTTACATAAAAGGAATCTACATTCGCTTGTTGTCGATAAAATTTATTAGGGAATAAATTCGTCCATGTGCGATCTCCAACAAAGGATATGTTAGCTCCATTTTTGACCAATTGGTGTATTAATGAATCATCCAATTGTTCAGTTTCGCCAAGATTCAATATTATATCAATAAATGTCGATAGAGTTCCCGTTGTAAGGCTCTTTAAACGAGGCATTGTTACTGTTGGAATATCAACTTCTATTGAAAAATGCATACAAGCATTTTCATAAGTAAACGGCATATTTGTCTTATTTAAAAAATTCCAACGTAGTGCATCTACAACCATTAATATTGTCTGAGGATACTTTTTTGCCGGCTGTACTAATCTGCGTTTATACTTTATTTGTTTATTAAATTAGTAATTAAATTAAATTTATTACCTTATTCCATTTAAACTAACAGGTCTTTCATAGGATAAATCATCATTTTTGCTAATAATCTCTACGGTTTCATATGCAACCGGAAAAAAGCCAACAAAGAAAAGACCAGTTCCAAGAAGAAAACATGTTAACGTCAAAAATAAAAAGCTTTCTTGACTTATTTTAGTCATTGCCTTATATTATTTAGCACTTTTGCAGTTGTCATTAATTATTCAAACATTTTAAAGAATTGTTATAATAAATTCTCGTACCCTTATCTGTTTTGAATTTCATAGTGACATATAGCGTCAGAGAACAATGTATGCGAAAATTTTAGCAAAAATTCATATAAAAACAGCGAAATGTTCAAGTTGTGGAAATGGGAAATGTATGCTTCATCAAGTTTTGAATTTGCAGATTTGAAAAAAGAGTTTTAAGGACGTGTGCGAATTAGGTTAAGTTGCGTTCTAAATGAAGGAAATTCTAATTTGTGCCGATAATGTAGTGATGTGTCGATACGTGTTAATAAATGGCTAAATGTGTGCAGTGCAAAAAATCCCAAAAAATCTCCCATTTGGTTTAGCATCAACTTAGCCTAACTCGCACACGTCCTAATACTATGTTAAGACAGCCAAATTTCCTTAATTTCGTAAAAATAATTAAGTTAATTAAGTTAATTTCGAAACTGTTTATACTGCCGCAAATTAAGAATATCATATGTTTTTTGTTTACAAATCGAATGTTAAAAATTACAAGCTTCAAACACTATTTTTAGCCGTGTGCGAGTTTGAGTAAATTGAGGTAAAGTAAATTACAATTTCCTAGGATTTTTCGCATTGCACTTATATAAATATTTATTTATTGCACTGATTTAATTTTTTTGGTTAAAAGTTTTCAAATTTATTTATTTATTTATTAAACATCTTGTAAAATTTTCACAACGGTAAGACTTAATTTACCTAATTTTTATCTAAGTTACCTTACTCGAAATTTCCCTCAATTTACCATCAATTTACTCGAACTTGCTGACAGCCTTAACTTATATAGATCGATTTATGTCTCATCTATTAATCTTTGCTAATATTTATTCATGCTGATGAGAAGAAGGGAAAAAGAATATGTGAAAAAATTGTAAATAAAGGAGCAAAAACAGATGACCGGCATGAGGAAGTTATTTACACAAAGTATATTCACCGTTCGATGTGGTGTCAGTTTAAATACTTTTAACAATAATATAAGAAACAATTTTCAACATGGATTAAAGCTTAAGCGACGCTGCTTTTGTACGCAAACTGAAAAAGACACAAAACCACACTGCAATGTGGGAACCATTGGTCATGTCGATCATGGTAAAACCACTTTGACAGCAGCTATTACAAAGGTATTAGCGCAAAAAGGTTTAGCAAATTTTGTTGCCTATGATCAAATTGATCGTGCGCCGGAGGAAAAAGCAAGAGGTAACTTCACTAAACAGTGATATTCTTGAGGTTATAATATGAGTTTTTCATTTCAGGAATTACAATAAATGCATGCCATATCGGTTATAACACTTTAAAGCGTTCCTATGCACATACTGACTGCCCTGGACATGCAGATTATATTAAGGTAAAACGCTACTAAGCAGTGAGTATGAACAATGTTATATAATCTGAAAATATTGACACCAAGTGTTCACGCTTTTGGTTAGTGAACCCTTAAATCTTCTTAACAATATTAATTTAGTTCAATAAAAATCAAAATAAAGTTATAGTGCATTAAGACAATATATAATCGTTATGCTTTTTTATAGAACATGATATCTGGAGCTTCACAAATGGATGGCACAATATTGGTTGTTGCAGCAACTGATGGTCAAATGCCTCAAACTCGTGAACATTTATTACTCGCAAAACAGGTTGGCATAGAAAAAATTGTGGTATTTATAAATAAAGCAGATCTAGTAGATAATGAAGTCTTGGAGTTAGTAGAATTAGAAGTGCGTGAACTGCTGACAGATTTTGGCTTTGATGGAATTGCCACACCAGTTGTTTATGGTTCTGCACTATTGGCGATGAATAATGACACTTCTGCATACGGTGTACCTGCAATTGAACAATTATTGGAACATATAGACAATTATATACCAACGCCAACACGTGATATCACTTCACCCTTCATACTTCCTATCGATAACGCATTCACAATGCCCGGTAGAGGTACAGTTGTTGTGGGTACAATTAAACGTGGTACAATGGCAAAAAATGCTGAAGCCGATTTACTTGGATTCAATCAAAATATCAAGACTTCAATTGGGGATTTACAAATTTTTCGCAAAAGTGTACCGCAAGTAACTAAATAGATAAAATATTTAAAAAAATTTGACCAGTAATGGAATGCATGTTTTCATAGGGTATTGCAGGAGAGAATGTTGGTGCATTACTTCGTGGAGTCAAAATATCAAATGTAGAACGAGGAATGCTTCTCTGCGCTACAGGAACTGAAGATATATCAAATCATTACGACGCATCTATGTATTTATTATCCAGAGCTGAAGGTGGTAGATTTAGACCTATGCTTTCGAAATATATACAACAATTGTTCAGTACTACGTGGAATGTACCAGCTCGAATCGATTTAAGTAAGTTAATCACTTAAAATAGTATATATAATATTATTTATTGATGTATATTTATAAAAAAAAAAAAAATAGTACCTCCAAATGAAATGTTGATGCCTGGCGAACACGGGAAAGTTAGCATAACATTGCATAAAAAAATGGTCATGACTCCAGGTCAAGCGTTTACAATAAGAGAAAATGAAGCGACAGTAGCGACTGGAATAATCGTTAAACGAAAACCATCTATAAACCTACCAAGAAATAAGCTATCCAATGTTGTTATCGATTAATTTTTTGTTTGAATTGAATATTGCGAGCATTATAACTTAAGTAATTAATAAAACTTTGAAATTGAAGAATGAATCTTTAACTTTAAAAATTTATATTAAATAATAGTTCTAAAAAAACACATATTGGTATCACAATATATAGCTGGTTATTGATATGCTATATCTATAACTAACTGAGTATGCCATCAGATTTTCTAAAGCAAAGTAAACATACTGTTGAAAACTATGTTTCATGGTTGAAGTTGTCTATTCTAAATTTATGATGCAACTATAACCTTAATCTACGACGATGTACAATACTTTTTATTGCCTTTATCCACGAACTTTACTGACATCGCATTTACATTTGTAGAGATACATTCTGTAGTAGCAATTCTTAAACATTTTGACTTGATTGTTATAATATTTCTTGGTTTACAAAATATACCTTGATGATGACATTAGAATATAGTTGAAATATCAGTTTATATAAAATATTTTAAAAAACAAATATAATTTTTTAAAAAGTGTATTATCTAACTAACGACCAGTTAGCAGGTTAAAAAACAAAATTATTATTGAAACAATTTGGTCACTAAAACAATAAATTAAAAAATATTAAATAATAAATAAATGTAAATAAACAATAAAAGATAAATATTAAAAACTTTGAATTGTTATTAAATTATAATTTTATTTCATATTAATAACTAACAATGCATATTCTGTTTTCTAAACAGTATTAATTTTTTAGCCGCTAAAGCTTTTGTATATAAATATTAACATATACATATGTATTTTTTAATTTCATTTATACAAATATTTAAAAATATTAGTATAATATCTCCTTTATAGTGCATAATTTATTTTTATTTCTTTATGTAAACAAAAAAATACTAAATTACTTTATTTTACTAATGGCATTTTGAATAGGAATATTTTTTAAATAAATTGGTGGAATGTATAATAACAAAAAATACTTAGGTACATATTTTCATATAGTATATCAAATATAGACAAAAATTATTTTTATCTATTCCTGTATTAAATACGCTGCAATCACTACATTTCAAATCAGATCATTTTATTTTTATCACACATATATTCTAATCGGACAAAAGTCCTTCATTTCATTGTATCGAAAATCTCTTAATTTTTATTTAAGGCAACCAATTTTTTGCTCATTCTTAAGTACATTTGGAAGAATCTTTATCTTTAATAATAATATAACAATTCTTTTCATTATTGCATGTAAAAATACTTTCAAAAGTTAGTACAAAATATTTCGGTTTAGGAACCGTTTCCTCATTTAAATAGTTTTAGGTACAATTTACTATTTGTTCACAAAAATATAATTTATACATACTTATATATATGTAAATATAATTGCACTATAAATTTATTAAAATTTGCATGAATCAAATAAAAATAAATAATTTTAACTAAAAATTCAGCTAATTTTTAACATCGATTGGCAACGATAAGGAACAACTATTACTAATACTTTAATTAAATACGTTGAATGCTAAAAGTTTACTTGTTCAGCAAAATTATATCTTAACGAGTAATTCGTCGAGGTTTAAATGTTTTGGTAAATCAATCTCTTCTAATTTTACATCGCTATATTTAAAAACTACTTTGAATGGATGTATAAACTTCTGATCCATAGTAAAGTCATGAATATTGTTATTCATCTAAAAAGATAAGAAAAGAAAACAAATCATTACAAATCTATTTCATACATATTTCTAATATAATATCTTACCAATGGACGTGCATTTAATTTCTCTGTTAATGTTTCCATGAATGTACTTGTTATTTTACCCTCATAATCATCCAATTTGTATGATTTCATAACCTAAGTATTAAAGGAATAGTTAAAACATTATTAAATTCATTTAATTTAAAATAGATGAAATTACTCGAAATACGTAAAAATCAAAATAAACTCATAAATATTTTTACCTTAAGTACTTGTGCTGTGTTAAGAGATGTACATAAGTCACAAATGCTTTGCACATCTTGTTCGCTTTTCCGGGATTGCAAAAGCTGAGATATCTGGTTTAATGGTGCCAATTGCAATAGAACATCATTTGACTATAAATAAATAATTTATTATTAAAATAAAACTAAAATTTATTAACTTAAATAACATTACCATTTTCTTTTCTCTAACCCAATCTTCAATATGGCCTAAATTATATCGAATAATCATTCCTGTCTCCCACATGCACATATCGCCGCATAACATTAAACAATTCATGGCAGCAGCACAGATAAAATATAATAACTGATTGAATATTTGCTCCGAATAGCAGCGATCCAAACCAAAATGATAGAACTGTTTGAAAAAGTGTTCCAGCTTCTGTATTAACTGTTTCCAAGCAGCTATTTTTGAATGGTCAGGAGATGATGGATCATTAGACGTGGTATGTCCACGTATATTTTGTGTTTGTCTACCACGCTTAATTTCATCGTTATCGAGTATTGCAGGTACTATTAATGGTTCCAAAAATCCTTGAACTTGTTTTACTAATACATGATATAAACTGTTGATTATTTCAAGCACTACGCGACGATACTCGTAGAGATTGAAATTTTTTAATTGTTGCTGATTTTGCTTTAATGTATTGTATTTCACATACTCTTCAACATCACCATATTGTTTTAATAAATTTAATAACCTAAAGAATAAAAAAAAATTGTTAATTAATCTATAAAATATAGTAAAATTTTATAAAAAAATTAAATTAATAAAAAAAAAGTTCAAGAATAAATAAATATAAAATATAAAAAAATAAATTAAAATTAAAAATTACAAATTAAAAAGATACATATATACATATAACTTATCTATATAATCTATATCTTATCTATATAAAAAAAAATTATTTTAACAAATGAAAATACATACGCTATAGAATTTACTAGCCACAAAGTTCGAACTTCTATGACATGAGGATTACGATGAATTTTCTTGATTTGCACCACAAATTTACTTAAAAGTTCACGTACATCGTCATCAGCATTAATTAAATCAGTATAACTAGAAGAATTAATATGAAATTAAATTAAGAAAAAATTGAAAAAAAATATATAAAAATCGGGTACATACCGTATACACATAAATAATATATAGGCCGGAAAACCGGGCAATAATCCAATGGCAATACGAGGCGTCATACTGTTTATAAGGCGATGTAAAATTTTGTCTAGATCTGAACTCTGGAATTTCATAACACCTAAAAACCAAATAACCAAATACAGTTGTTTAGAAAACAAAATAAAATAATGTTCTGATTCGAATAATTAATTACCTTGATAGTTTTGCATTTTTTGTTTAGTAACTTGTGTAACTGGCCTGGCAGTTTCTTCTTTTGCGGCGTTCTCTACAGTTGGCACACCTAACTGTTCAAGTTTCAGTGCCATTTTGTCATTGCCGAACTTCAATGTATCAAATTTGCGACCCATAACATTCAATTCTTCCTGTTTTCGATAATAAAAAAAAATTAATAATAATATTTATTTGCATATTTAAAACTTTAATTAATTATAATTTGTGCTACCACAGTGGACCTACTCTATAAAGTTTAGATTATATTATAACAGTAATTCTAGAAATCCATTTAGGCCAAATAATATCTTGTGTTAACATATAAGACTTCAGGATTTAACTTGAATTCTAGTCAAAGCATATAGAAGTTATATAAGATCCTCTAAAAACTGAGTTTCAAGTATGATTAATGTTGCCACTGGGACCTGCGTTTTACTTCAACCCGCTGGGGGTATTGAACGGTCACTTGGTCGTCGAGATTGACAAGTGGCACCGGAACGTAGACCCGGTTGTACTTGTAATCAAAATGATTAAACGTCGTTAGGCATGTGCTAAAACTGACAAAGCAAAAACTGAAAGAGTAGTCATTAAAAAAGATTCAATCCTCTAGCTGGGTTTCTTTACCGGCTGTGAGCAATTAAGAAAGCGAATACAAGACTGATATCCTAACGTGGCATCTCAATGAGATTAGAAGATTTTTAATTGAGCTAATCTAACTTAACTTTAAAGTTAGAAGTAGTGTTGCTAAATAAAATCTATATTATTAAGCTTGAGGAATTTGTATTGAGATTTCGAAATCTAATAAGGCTAAAAACCTTATATAAAATAGAATAGTTTTTTTTTGGCAAACTAGAATTTAAAAGATTCTTACAATATTCTTATTATTAGAAGTTAAGTGCAAACTTAAAAAGTAGAAAGGTACTTTTTTTGGTAAAATAGAAACTTTACCAAATCTGTTTATCGTTTAATTACTAATTCCTTAGCTGTTTCGTCAATTTACAAAATATTGAAAACTATGCGAAAAATATCAAAATCAATATGAGTCCAACCAATACTATGTATAGAGATGGTGTTTTTTTCATCAAATCTCATATTTAATTAGTATAGCAAATACTATACTGATACTAGTTTTTTTTTTAATTTAAACGCAAAGAACATTTACCTGCAGATGGGAATATTGGTTTAGAGTTTTGTCCAATTCGTAACGTAAATAACGTTCATTCTGTACAACTTTATCCATATCCTTTTCATTAACATTGTCAAGATCAGTTTGCATAATATTTTGCAATTGCTGTTTTTCATTACGAAGATCATCAATCTGTCTACTTAGTTCAGCCAAATGAGCATTATTTTCTTCAGTCAAGGCACTAAGTTCAGATTCCAATTGTCTATTGAAATAAGTAGATAATTTTTATTAAAAAAAATAAATAAATAAATAAAAATAAAAATAATGCTTACCGATTGACAAGTTTCTGAGCTTGGAATGCTTCAGCCAGGTCATTATTTTCCTGGGGATTTTTAAATTCATTTTTATTTAACGATCCATTTCCATTTCCATACGATTTTAATGACTGACTTTGTTGCTGTAATACACCTTTGAGTTGAATGCATTCCTCACGACGTCGTCGTAATTCATCTTGTAGTGCATAAAATTGCGCTTAATTAAATAAAAAATTAATTAAATTTGATTTTAACGTCAATATGACAGTAATGACAATTTTTACTTCAACAGAAACTGTGGACTACAATCTATGGTACTTAAAAAAGAAGTTTCGCAAAGTAGTGAACCACAACAACTAAATTTCTACAACAGCTGTGTTGAGTATTGCCAAATATCCATCATCAGTGGTTTTGGAAATTATTTCTTATATATAATTATTCATAAATAGTTTTTGGCAACTGGAAATACCAGGGATTGAACTCTTGCCCTGCCAAAAATGTAGCTCAGAGTCAGCGTTTATTAGTCAACTGACCCAAAGCCGTACGTATTTGACTTGTATGTTCGCATTTTTTTCTGGAATTTTGTTAATTTGTTTGAAAAGTTATTAAAAAATGCACTTTCTGTGTTATATTAGAACGAAATCATAGACTAGCTGTAGAGTAATCTTATTTATTAATTAAATTTTTATTTTTTAATTGTTAAATTTTAATACTCTTTTTTTAGCAATACTTGAAACAGCTGTATGGTCAAGTAAAAATTTAATTAATTAAAATAATATAAAAAGAATTTTTGTTGTTGTAAAACTAATAAAATTATAGCTTCGAAGGGGTAACGTTTTAGGAGATTTTTCAAATTAATTTTACCATCAAGTTCATGCATTTCCGTTCCTCTCTTTATACTGTTCCGCAAAAGTTCGTAATCATTTCGTAGCTTTTCATTTTCAACTTCAAGTTCAGTTACTCTGGTTTTATAAAAAAAATATATTTGAATCAAATTAAAGTTATTTAAAGGAAAAAAAATGCGCCATACCTTATAGAATCCTCAGTGTTCTTGTTGCGATTCATTAACTTTTCATGCTGATCACCAAGTATTTTATTTTTGCGTTTTTCATATTCCAAAATATCACGTAACTTAAGAACAAGTCCAACTTGGCCCGGAGTTATATCTTTCAAAATTTAATCAAAAAATTTTAATTAATACTATTTAACTTATATTCGACCGCTCTAAAAGGCGGCAAGAGTAAAGTCTCTTGCTAAAGTCTCTAATTAGTACGTTAAACAATAACACTACTCTCTTGGTCTAACAGACTAGTTAAGATACAACTAATCAACTAAAAGACTGCAGAAAAAAATGTTAACAATGCAATAAATGATCCATTTTAAAACTTGTTAGTAAACAAAAATTATTTTAAAAATATTTAAAGTTTGTTGAATATAATTATTTTAAAAATATAATAATTTAAAAAAAAATTACATAAAGTGTAATTAAAAATCACATCGAGTTTGTTAACTTATTAGTTGTTAACAAGTTTAAGTTGTTAACCTTCATGCCTTAAGACTTATTAAGGTATAAATGTTTTTAACTATAATTAATTTTGTTGTAAAAACCAATTTCAATTTTCATTTTAATTTTAAATTTTTTTCATAATTATTTAAATGAATACAAAATTTAGTTAGCCTTGAAATTTACGCACATACGTAAGATTTTTTAATTGTAAAAACATAGTTTTTGACAGACTGCAACAGTGGTGCCAATATGTCAGCAAGAGACTTGAGCAAGAGACTTGAGCAAGAGACTTGTTGTTTTTTGTCGCACTTCGAAACAGTGTGCCTTCACTTCATTGCAAATATTAACATAATACAGTACTTACCTGATTGTGATAAATGTGGGGCCTTTCCAAAGCCTCCTTGGCTGCGAGTCACTTCCAACGTATTCTTTCCAGATACATAGCCTACATCGTCTTCATTCTGGCTAGAAGCGTTACTTGGCGATCTAGTATGATAAACAAAATCAGTACCATTCGATTTTTGCATCCGCGATAGTTCCTCTTTCAGTAGGTAATTTTCATTTTCCACTATTTCTTTGTCTTTAAGTAACTTTTGATAAGCCTCTTGTATTTCTTTAGATTCATTATTATTTTCTCGTTGTACGGCAGCTTTTGTTTCAACTTTTTTCGCCATTTCAATCATATCATCGATTTGTTTACGCAAATCATCGTTCTCTATACGCCATATTTGTTTTTGCTTTGTAAATTGTTCAGCGGTATTATCCTTGTCTTCAAGTAATTGCATTTTCTCATCGCGTTCAATTTCCAATTGTTTGGTTAAATGTGTTAATACTTTATCTTTTTCTGCAAGCACTAATTTTAAATTTTTAACTTCGCCTTCTAGTGTTTTTTTTAATTCCAATTTCATTCTAAAAATGTTAAGATAATGTTGGTAAAAAATTTAAGAAATTAAACAATAATATAACTCATACTTAAGAACGGATATTTCACTTGTCTTATGCTTCAAGTTACTATTTTCACGATTTAATTCATCAATCTTCTGTTGCATTGATATAATTTTATTCTCAAGACCCTTATACATCTTTTCTATGTGAGAAATGGTTTTCGCTTCGGTTTTCATTTTCTTCACTCTACGTCTAGCCAAAAATCGTCTAACCGCAGCTTGGCATATAATAATATCGTGTCGTCTCTTATGATAAGCGCGACGAGCCAAATAACCTCGCATGAAACGTTGAATCTCCGTAGCACGATAATGGTCCATAACATCACGAAACCGTTTACGAGCTAACATACCGCGTGCATACTGTTGTATACCACAAATTGAACGTCTCAAACGTACATATCTCCGCCTTATAAGCCAACCACGTGCATACTTCGATATAACAAGTGCAGCTCGATGCTCTCGTATTGCCTGAGCTTTTCTTCGTGCCAAACAGCCACGTGCATACCGTTGTAGTCCAAGTGCTGTACGCTGTAGCCTTTGAAATCGTTTACGACATATAAAACGACGTACTACCGACTGTATAAGAGTTATATATTTTTTACGTAAATTGGCGCGCACCTGCTCCAAGTAAGCAACTTGACCCGCTCTAAAAAATATTTGCGTATTGCCAAAACGATATTTATCTTCATCTGTAATCCAATTTTGCACAATATTGAAACATGATTGCTTCAAATCATTTTTATTGATTAATGTGCGATGACACAATAATTGATAGCGCATATAGAAATCATGATATATCCAACGTGATGGAAATCCAGCAGCTGATATGCGTACTGTTTCTAGTACACCACAGGCACGTAATTGTTGTACAATCTTAGAGGCTTCCCATTTGAAGGCAATTTTATCATCGTTAGGCTAATAAAATAATATACATAAATAATTAACCAAAATTTTCGTTATATATTCTCATTGTTTACCTTGATGCATCGTACATAATGTGGTGTAGTCGCATGCAATGTATTTATTAGTGAAGATAAGCTCTCACGGAATTGAGATCCCACAGAACGTTTATGTTGTTTGGAAGGTGCAACCTATTTAATAAATAAACCAACTTTACTAAATTTTAAAATAATAATAAAATCAAAGGAAACATGCAACCAAGTTAAAACAATTATTTATTATTATTAAAATTAGTTAATCATATGAATATAGTAATAGATTAGTAATGCTTTAATAAAATGGAGAATATAATATTGATTAAATATTTGTATTTAGTTGATTTTAAACTTATATATATTAATTAAATAAGAGAAGAAAAAAAATAAAAATGATGGGATCCATTATCCATGAAAAATATCATAATTTCGGAAACCTTCACTTTAAAGGAATTAAAAAAAATCAAATATATAGTTCAGTTAGAAAACATATGATAATTTATATCCGATTTCAAAATTTTGTTATAACAATAACCCAGTTGTATGAATAATTTTTATTTTATGTGATAATTTTTATATTTATATATTATAGTAAGTAATTGATATATATGAACAATCAATATAAATGTTTTATGACAATATAAAAAAAAATAATTATCAATTATTTAAGATTTCAGTTAGAAATTTGGTTTAAGTAATTCATGCATATATTAGTAAAAAACAGTATATAAAAATGTGTAACTAACTCGACGTCGGTAATCAGCAGGCAGCTATAGATCGAAGGACGTATTGGATTAACCAGAAATTTTTCGTTTTTAAGTATACCAAAAATAATAAAAAAGACAACAGCAACAAAAAACAAAAAACATAGTATATAAATATTCAATTAAAAATTATATTTAAGTCCTTGAGCCATATATGTATATAATCTCTTTTCTATTTATTTAACCTTCTGCTGTAGTTAGACTTTTCTATGTAAAACATGTTAAAATACATAGAATTTGTTAATAAGTAAATATTAATGTAGTCTATAATTGGTAAAATATTTTTTTTCTTTAACGTTAGTCATGCAATACCACATGCTAGAAGTTTAAAACTGGCATTAAATAGCTAACCTGACTTTTACCATTAAATTGGTGTCTCATGATGCCGCTCATCTATTTTCATGTCCCAGTGCACACACTAACTTAATAATAAATTAATATTATACTATTAGTCTTCACTTGTCATTCTTAAAATATTTAAAAGAATACTTTATAGCAAAATATTGCCAGTGATTCAAGAACATGTTATTATACCGAATATCAGCTTAGATTAGATATTAGATGAATATCGGGGTATAATTAAAGTAATTACTTAAAAAATAATATTTAGATAACTAACAAACTTTCGGTCGTCAGTACCCTGTAACGTTTTCACTTAAGAGGATAGATTGTTTTCAATAATTTTGAAGAAACAGCAAATTGTAAAAGAAAATAATGTGAATTTCACATAAAAACAAAGGAACTGAACTTAATATCAAAACTAAATAAATTTACTTGTTATTTATATCTCGAACCTCGAGATTGGGTCTACAACTTAGAGCCACTCATCTTTTCTGACGAACAAAAATATAAACTACTGACAAAAAATATTATAATTTTATACTTTATAAAGTATTAATGTGCTAATACAATAGTATGAAACATCATATCAGTAAGTATTCAAGAACAACATAAGCTACATACTCTTATTCTTCATTAAAGTATTTGTATCTTAATACAATGGTAATAAATACCATATAACAATATTCCAATAGTGTACAAAATTTCATAAACCTTTATAACAAGTACAATAATTGTAATCCTAGTATTTTATATAATATGTTATTATATACGGCTCGGGGACTTATATGCATATTTTTAATGTAAATTTTTAAATCTTTTTAAGAAATGAAAATTACCTGTTGCTTTGCTGCACTTATTACAACCCGACCACCCATAGCTTGAGTTTTTGCACCATCCGTGCTGAGCGTGTCAATTTCTTCCAATTCAATTAAAAGTTTACACAACGGCAATTCCGACAGACGAATTACATTAACAAGTTGTTTAGAAACGGTGTCACGATTCTTATCAAGAAATCCATGAACGTCATATTGCACAGTGTCAGAGAAATGTTTGACAGAGAAACCTTTATGTAACATTAAAACCATATCACTAATGTTTTTTGTATAAAAATGTATTAAATACTTGTTGTCCCAAAACGTGGTTTCTCGAAATGAGGAAACTTTTTGCATTTCTCTATCAATTTTCCAACCCAACTTTCATCTGATCCTCTTGGCATCTATATGAAACAATTAATTATATATACAATATCCTATTTTCTAAGCTAATAACAAACAAACCCTGCACTCTTCATCTAAAAGATCTAGTACACCTAATTTTGATTCAATCAAATCAATACATGGCTGGTTGTCATAAAAATCAATCATTGTCCACGTAATGCCTTCTTTTAGATATTCTTCTTGCTCAAGTTTAAAAACATGTTGATTAAATTGTTGTTGTAGTTTTTCGTTAGCATAATTAATACAAAACTGCTCGAATGAGTTAACATCAAAAGTCTCAAAACCGTAAATATCGAGCACGCCAATAAAACAGCTTTGCTTGTTTCCCATGTTCAAGCTTTTGTTGGTAACATCAACAATGTGTTGAAACAGTTTTGCATATATATGCTTAGCTAATGCATCTCTAGCTGCATATGATATTTCCATAGTATTAGGTATAAGTACATGCTCATTTACAGATTCAATTTGTCGAGTAGTTAGCCATTTGCGTAAATCATCTGAGTTCACTCTCAACATTTCACCCGTCAATTGTAAATGTAGATCATTAACCTGTTAAAATATATAATCAAAATATGTTGATGTTCTTATTACATCAATCAGATAAATCAAATCATTTTACGTTTATATCACAACCATCAGGGTCGATTTCCTCTGAATCCTTTTTATATTTATATCCAAATTTAATATTTCCTAAATGCAAGATGCCAGCTAGAATTTTTAGTATATCGGTAATCTATAAGTTAATTTAAAAGAAAACTTGTTTCAATATTTTTCATATGATCAGATGTGCTTACCTGATTTTTACTAAAACCTAACACGCTCATAGCGTGTAAGGTTTCTTTAAAAAGTTTCCTATCTGAAACATTTTCTATATCAGGCGACTTTCCCATATTTAAGTAATCAAATTTATCTTGATGATCTGTAATTAAATAACTATTAAAAATAAAGAAAAACTTTTATTGTTAATCCAAATTTTACCAAGAATTAGCTCTGGATATTTATCACGGGCTGCACAAAGTTGATAGAAGACATGATAATTACGTTCTCCAGGCGCTTGAAATACAACACGTGACTTTTCCAGCAAATATGTGTGCATTGTGGCACCAGTAAGATTCATCACACCCATATTATTTTTAAACAATAACTTTGTAAATTTTCCAAAACGTGAACTATTGTCATTCCTTGTTGTTTTAGCATTACCAAAAGCTTCCATAATTGGTGAGGATTCTAATACTTTTCTTTCTACTTGTGTCTCAGACTCTGAACCTCCGACTGCGGCAAAATAACGCATTGTATATTTAGCTGACACGGTTTTACCAGCACCCGACTCGCCACTTACAATTACACTTAAATTACATTTTTCACGCTCTAATTTTGTGTATGCTTCCTCTGCAATAGCATATATATGCGGTTCCAGCTCGCCCATAGATCGGCCACGATAAGCGCGTATAATACTGGACCCATAAAGTGATAACGAAGCATATGGATTTATGGCAACTAAAATTATTCCACAATATGTGTAAATATTTTGACGATCACAAAATCGAACCCTTAAATTATGTAAAACACCCGGTTCATGTAAATAAGATAAGGATGTTAAATCATTAAGACCAATCAAAATTTGAGGATTCCTCAATGGCGGTAAATTACTGCCATTTGGTTTGATTGCTAACTCGAGCTGTCGTCCAGTATTTTTTACTATTTTGATAACTGTATCTCCTTTATGATAGTCTTGTTCCAGTGAAGCTCCCTCCCATACTTCTTCTGGATGTGGAACCCATATTTTTGCACCCTAAAATAATAAAAACATAACATAAGAATATACCTTAAATTAAATTAAGAAATATATAGACATTGAAATATAAAATCACAAGAACTATAATTTCAACACACCTTCTAGTACTGCAATTAATTATTAAATAAATTATATTCATTAAAACAAAATCATATTCTTTTTTTAATGCTAAAATGAGCAATCCGTGTGCTAATACACTCCACAATTAACGAACCTCAATTAGCAATAATTGCGTTATTAAAGTGTTTACATTTCAATCCAGTCAAAAATATTAAAACAAAATAAATACGAATAGAAATAACAAATCTCACAAAAAATTAAAAGTTGAAAATAGGTTTAACAAAACAAATGCATTAAAATATATATAAAGTATATATTAAATGCAATCTGAGAAAATGCAATATTTTTAATTTGTATTTAACAGCTGCAAAAATTTGTTTTTCCTTGAAATTGAAAATGTGGTTGGCGAAGTAAAATGTTTTTAGGCAGCACATTCTTTCAATTGAAGCATTTATTAACTAATTGGATAAAAAGTTTCTATACACCACTTCACAAACTTCCAGTAGAGAACAGTGTCTTTACCAACTTCTTATATTGAACTCTGTTCCAAGTCTCTTCGCTTATGCTACTTCAGTTTTACATCAATTTTACTTTTCTATTTGGTTTCTCAATTACAATAGTCTAAATCTATATTAAATATATTATATAAAGCATAGTTACTGAATTTATTTAATAAAAACAAACTTTTATGTTTATAAATGAGAAGAAACGTATTAGTAGCTGCTTTAACAAAAGGGAATTTGTTCAGTACTATATTATCGGTGCCGATGAATCACTATGTACTAGGAAGACATGTTATTCAACTAGGAGTTTTTTCATGGTTGAGGCTCTGCATCTCAAGGGTTAGTGTACCTCATTGACGAAAAATCTTTCGTCTTTGGAGCTGCTATTTTTACCGAACTAACAGAGCTGTCCTTTTACAAAATTAGGGACTTGGTCAAGTTTAGAGACTTGTCAAGTTGGTTTACTTTAACTTAAATGGGACAATCATATTTTTTGTTGTTGTTCGTACACTGACCTCTAGTCTACATATGAACAACTCTATTTAGTGATATCACATCGGGCTCTTAATTGAGCTGAAATGAGCTTTGAGCGCATAGCAGTCACTCCAACTTCACCTAAGTTTATAACTAAAAATTGTTTTTAAACCTTCATTTATTAACTTTTTAAATAACTGAAGTGAATTGAACGCAAATACACAGGTTCCGAACTATACAGTACTAAACGAATATATTACAAAATATACTATTTTCAGTTCGGTTCCGGTCAAAAATATCGGTTTATTTTAGTTTTCGGTACAGTTCCAATTTGGAGAACTGCTCTCAATTTTTTCAGTCATTCCTACTTTGTTGCTTTTCTGATCAAAAATATCGGTTTATTTTAGATTTCGGTACAGTTCCAATTTGGAGAACTGCTCTCAACTTTTTCAGTCATTCCTACTTTGCTTTTCTGATCAAAAATATTGCTTTATTTTAGTTACCGGTACAGTTCCAATTTTGAGAACTGCTCTCAACTTTTTCAATCATTCCTACTTTGCTTTTCTGATCAAAAATATTGGTTTATTTTAGTTACCGGTACAGTTCCAATTTCGAGTACTGCTCTCACTTTTTTCAGTCATTCGTATTTTGCTTTTTAGTTTCTTTGCAATACTAAAGTGATATATTGTTCAAACTTATTGTGCGTTGATATACATAGCTCTTGAACTGCGTACTGTAGATATGAGATGCCAGTGCTAAACGTGCTTAAATAAAAATTTCAAAACCATGTAGAAGAAATAAAACAATTACAAGATTTATTATTGAACACCTGGAAAATATTACAAGACACTAAACTTTTTGCGGAGAAACAACCTGATAAAGTTAAAGCTCAAACCGCGTAACAAAGTCTTATGATAATTGCAATGATTATGATATGATATTATAAACAGTTTTCTGAAAGTGATATCCAGTCAATTTACTTGAATGAATGTATTAATATTAGTATGATTTGTAACCACATACTTTTTTTTTGAAAGGTCGTGTGAATGAGATTACCCTTCAAGGTACTATAAATAATGCGTCAGGTACAACTGAAAAACTTATGGAGTTGAAGTAAAAACAATATATGCGATATGACTAAGTGCGACTCATCAAATTCTTATTTTTGTTAAATGACGAAAAAGAACCATTTCTAATCGACTAACTGATAATAGTTTGCGTTTATATATGTATGTGCATACATACATATGTATGTATGTATGTTTATTATAGGTTCTAATTGATGTACAAATTAATACAATTTAGTGAGAGATTTAAACTGGTTCAGAGTTTTATGAAATTAAATTTTTATTTTGTTTTAAACAAATCTAATATTAATTTTAAATGTATTTTTTTATCATATATAATAATAATTTTTTTAAACTAGACAAGAAGGCGGAACACTTATAAGGCTTATCGTACCATTCATAAACATTTTTATCATTTTCCTACAAAAACGTGTAATAATACAATGCAATTTATTTATGTATATAAAAAGTAACTGTTTTCTCATGGACTGTGTGAACATGCTAATAAATTATTTCAATTTTTTTTCTTTGTATAAATAATCTTCTCAAACGAAATTGTATGCAAATTGTTTGAATAATTAATATTTGGTGCGACAGAAGCGGTTAAAACGTAACGAAACAACTTATGGGCGCCAAATTTTTTATACATATATATATATATAGATATAATCTGAAAAAATATCTCACAAAATATTTTTCTTATATATTGTTTGATTTAAATTTAATTAAAAATATTTTAAAAAACAAACTTAAATTCACTATAATATGATACCTAATCCTAATTTAACATAATATGCATTTATATATATGTATGTATATATGAAACGACGTTTAACTAAAACATCAAATTTTATTTAAAAATAGTTATTTTAAATGGTATGAATAAAAACCAAGATAACAGTATTGAAATTATTTGAAAATTGAAAAAAAAAAGAACACAAAAAAAAAACTTGCATATGCAGCATTTTTAAATAAATAAAATATTTACCACTCATGTTTTGCTAAGTATTAAATTTGTAATATAGACTTGACAACAACAATTCTCATTACCACTTCACCCCCACACAAACTGACCACAAACGTTGTGATTAGAAATTGTTAGTATCACGATTATGAATCCATATAAATACCTGTGCATATAGCATCTCCTCACTTGACATATTTTCACTGATTGATTCAATTCTTTACAAACACAAATTATACTTTTTAAATTCATTCAAGGTTTAATTTTTATTGAAAATTTTGCACAAATATTTTATATTTTTATTGATTATTTGAAATAAACTAAACATTTAATCTACAATTTTGAAATTTAAACAAAGAGCCCGCAAGTAAGTTTAATGCCATAAGAAGAAAACTAAAAATATATAAAAGGAAAAAACCGTCAACAGAAACCAATAACTTCTTTGACAACGTTGACAACATTTAACAAAAACTAAAGCAAAGGCATTGCTGAACCAAAGCTCACTAGATATAATTGTTTAACTACTTGTTCTGTAGTAGCTCTATTAGCCGTAGTAGTTATTCTGCCAATTTGCTTCAACTAGCAACCCATTTAGTACTTACTAGCAACCCGCAATAATAACAAATATCAGGTGTTTTTATTTACATTGTGCGGTGTTATTAATAGTGTTCTCTCTTTCTCCTGGAATTTTTCAAATATTTCACGGTATGTACTCCATTACCATTAAATTTAAACTAAAACTTTAATATAATAGCTAATAAAAATTTTATAAAAAAAATAAAAATGAACACTTCTCCAAAATAAATAAGAATCATATTATGACAGTTTTATTTTAGTTTTAAATATGTTTTATTATAAAAACACCCACAATAATTAATAAGTATTTAGAGTATTTAAAATGAAATATTACATATTATAATTTACTTTTACCGGGCTGTCGTTTTTTAATTTAATTTCATTTTAAATTGAAAATCGTTATATATTATTTTCTTAAATGTATTATTAAATTATTTTCATTAACATTTTTAAATAATAAATATTTCCACATACCTCGCAGCTTTTCTTCAGTGCATATACACTTAATCATTTTACAAAATTAACTTCATTTTTTTTTTAAAATAACACTCGGTAAATATTAATAATATATAAATAAAAAAAATTTAATTTTTTATTATTAAAAATTATTTATATACTTGAAAAGAATGAAATAAATACAACGTAATAAATACTAACAAAAGTTTGTTAGCTTGAGGTTGTTTGGTAGCAAAAAAAATATTTTATAAAATTAATACCCTCTCGAAATGTCTATACGTTAAAAAATATTTTATTCGCCATTGCATAAAATTGTTAGAATTGCAATATATAATGTTTTAAAATCAAATTAGTTTTTTAATCAACGTTAACAAATAAATATGATTTTTTCGCTAACACAACTATAATTTTAATTAAATCAATTAAAGAACATAAATAAAATATTTAAATATATTCAATATTACTGGAAACACAAGACATAAACATATTTTATTTCTATAAAATCTAAGTAGAATTTCATAAATCCAATAAATTACATACTTATATTTCATTTACATATGAACTTAATCGTTTAAATGCCTTCATTTTTTTTTTCAATTTAGGTCTAGTACTAACATCTATTTTGCAGGATATGTTGACAAAAAACTGAGTATAAAGCCGGAACAAATTTAATGATCGACAACCACTCGATCGCCCTAATATGGCCCTAACATAATAAATGTTTCTTATTATAATAAATGAGTGTTGAATGAATTAGTATTAAAATACTGTATTGTACTTAAATATTGCATGGCACATATTCAAAGAGAATGTTAAATAAAACAATTTTATTATTTACATAATGAATTCGGGTGTGTAAATAATTAACTAGTTTGTGTACATAAAAAAAATAAGTTATTTCTTTATAACTTATAGACTTTTTCAATTAAATATTAATCAATAATCGATAAATATACATAAAAATATAACATATTAACCATTAAAAACAATATATATATATATGTATATTATTGCTAACTATTAAGTATCAAATTTTTGGTAGCCTGAAACACTAACATACAAAATAAGAAAAAAAGCAAAATGGTAATACTGACAAACATATTTCGCGCGCTTTTCGTTTCGATCGCAACAAGATTGTTGTGAAGTGTGCGTTTCGTAGTTGTAAATAATAATACAATTAATTCGGAGATAAAATAAAATTATAGTATTAAAAAATGTCGAGCCCAGCGCGTATTTCTAATCCAAGTACACCTTTGGCTGGTAAACATTAAATATTTAAAAATATTCAGTATATATTTCATGTTATATTTTTATAGCTCCACCACCAATTGATGTGGAGACACCTATGCGTATGGGTCGGGCACATGTTCAGCATTCTGATAATATAAGTTTACCACCCACTTCTCCTAGAGTAAGTATAGCCGCAACCAGTCCAGCACGAGGTCTAGGATGCGGCATGAGCGAAATTGATTTGAGTTCCCCTTTAAATTATGGTACTCCCAGTTCAATGGGCTCCATACGTACACCACGATCTGGCATACGTGGAACACCTTTACGCACTCGTCCTGATATACGTACCGACAAGCGCATGCGTCAGGTAGCAATTGGAGGTGATGGGGTAAGTTAACATTTTTAATTCTAAACTAGTTTGTTTATAAGATTATCTTTTAGTTGGAACCAATAACAGAAAGACATTCAGAGACTGATCCTATATCTGAGGCGTCGACAGGACCACAAATTGTTGTCTGGGGCACAAATGTGGTAGTCAGTCAATGTAAAACAAAATTTCAAGCTTTTCTAATGCGTTACATAGATCCAACAGCTGAGCAAGATGAAATATCTGAAAATATTGATGTAAATCAACCATTGTATATGCAAAAGCTTGAGGAAATACATACACTGGAAGAACCGTATCTTAATCTTAATTGTGCTCACCTTAAAACATATGATGCAGCTTTGTATCATCAATTAATATGTTATCCTCAAGAAGTAATCCCAACTTTCGATATGGCAGTAAATGAAATGTTTTTCGAAAAGTATCCAGCTGCTATTTTGGAACATCAGATTCAAGTGCGTCCATTTAATGCTGATAAAACACGTAATATGCGCTCACTTAATCCTGAAGATATGGATCAATTAATAAGTATTAGTGGCATGGTAATAAGAACTTCAAATGTTATACCGGAAATGCGTGAAGCATTCTTTAAGTGCATTATATGCGATTTTATATCTACGGTAGATGTTGAACGGGGTCGCATTGCCCAACCAACTCTTTGTACAAATTGTAACACTAATCACTGTTTTCGACTTGTGCACAATCGCTCGGAATTCACTGATAAGCAACTTGTAAAATTGCAAGAATCTCCAGATGATATGGCTGCTGGACAAACTCCACACAATGTGCTACTGTATGCTCATAATGATTTAGTCGACAAAGTTCAACCTGGTGATCGTGTAACTGTTACTGGAATTTATCGTGCTGTTCCAATGAAAGGAAAAGGCAACAATGTTAAGAGCGTGTATAAAACTCATATTGATGTAGTACATTTTCGTAAAGTTGACAACAAACGCCTTTATGAAGAGGAAGAAGGGTGGGACTTATTCATCAAATATTCGTTAAACCGATTTTATATATTTCTATCTTTTTAGAAAAGATCATATATTTCCGCCAGAACGTATTGGATTATTGCACATGCTTTCACAAAAACCTGATGTATATGATCGTTTAGCTAAAGCGATAGCTCCTTCTATTTATGAAAATGACGATATTAAAAAAGGCATTTTACTACAACTATTTGGAGGTACCAAAAAGAAGCATACCACTATGGGAAGACAAAATTTCAGGTAGCTATTTATATATTTAATATTTCATATAATATTTTAAAAAATTTACATATATTTTAGATCTGAAATTCATTTACTCTTATGTGGTGATCCCGGTACTTCTAAGTCTCAAATGCTACAATATGTTTACAATCTGGTTCCACGTTCACAATACACTTCAGGTAGAGGTTCTTCTGCTGTAGGTTTGACAGCTTATGTTACCAAAGATCCAGAAACTCGTCAGTTGGTTTTACAAACGTATGTGCATTTATTTTTTATACTTAATTATATAAATATAATTGTAAATAAATATCTTTCAAACTAGTGGTGCTTTGGTACTGGCTGATAACGGCGTCTGTTGTATTGATGAGTTCGATAAAATGAATGATGCTACACGTAGTGTTTTGCATGAAGTAATGGAACAGCAAACATTAAGTATAGCTAAGGCTGGTATCATTTGTCAGCTTAATGCACGTACTTCCATACTGGCTGCTGCAAATCCAGCTGAATCCCAATGGAATACAAAGAAAAATATAATTGATAATGTGCATCTGCCTCATACGTTGCTTTCACGTTTTGATCTTATATTTTTGGTTCTTGATCCACAAGATGAAATATTTGATCGTCGTTTGGCAAATCATTTGGTTTCATTATATTATGTTTCTAGACAAGAGGAAGAAGACACTATGTTTGTAAGTTCAAAATAATTAGGCATAGTAAAATTTTATTAAATAATTATTTTATAAGGATATGAGTGTTCTTCGTGATTATATAGCCTACGCCCGTGAACATATTTCTCCCACGTTAACTGAAGAAGCACAGCAACGTCTTATACAGGCATACGTTGATATGCGAAAAGTTGGTGCACGAAGAGGTCAGATTTCAGCTTACCCACGTCAATTGGAAAGTTTAATTCGTCTTTCCGAAGCGCATGCTAAAGTTCGTCTTAGTAATGAAGTCACAGTAACAGATGTTGAAGAGGCTTGGAGGTATATTATAAGATATATTATAAAAATTTAAATAATTAATTAATTAATTTTTTGATAAAGACTACATCGTGAAGCTTTGAAACAATCAGCAACAGATCCTCTATCCGGTAAAATTGATGTTGGTATCTTAACAACTGGTTTATCGACAGCTGCACGAAAGAAACGCGCTGAGTTAGTGGAAGCCATAAAGGAAAATTTGAAAAAGAAAGGAAAAATTCCTACTGTCCCTTATCAAAAACTGTTTAAAGAGATCAAGGAAGCCTCACAGATTGTAAGTTAAAATTTGTAATAATATTTATAAATACTTTTCAACATTTTTATGTGCTTACTGTATGTTTTAAAAATGTTTAGCTTGCATTTTTTGATTCGGTTTAATTTTCTTTTTAGCTCATAACTCGTGAACAATTTGAAGATGCTTTGAAGGAAATTCAAGATGAAGGCACGATTGTTGTTATGGGAAAAAATACTATTCGAATTTGTTAATTCATGTTATTAATAATTATAATTTACTTATTCTATTATGTTTAATTAATAAAACTTAATATTTCAATATTTATATTAAATATATGATTTTTTTTATTTAACAGATATTTTTAGTATATATATATATACTATTACAATAGTATACAAGCTTCTTGGTTCTATCATGTTAAGCAAAGTTTGAATGCAATATTCTGAAATTGATTTTTCGATATTATAGCAATCTTTAAATTAGAAAATCTATCATTTCATCACTGTTTATCACATCATATTCTTTTAAAATCAAATTTTTATTATTTTTTTTTGAAAAACAAGATAAGTTTTCGGAGAGTTATTTTTCGAAAATTTAGCTTCTTATGCTTAAAGAGTTTGTCGAATTTTTTTTTTAATATGTGCAATTTACTAAGGAATGACCTCCTTCCTATATATTGCAATTCCTATAAAAACTAAATTTATACATAAATCTATATACTTATGAAATGAGCGATTTTTTGGTGAAAATAAAACACTAATTATTAATAGGAAAGTAAAAAACATTTTATTCAAAGTATTGGCCATTGCTTTCTACACATTTTGACCACCTTTCTGGCAATTTGTGGATAATACGCCAAAAAAATTGTTCGTCTTTTAAAGCAAGCCAACCAGACACCCAATTTTCGACCTCCTCGTAGGAATCAAAGTGCTGATCAGTCAATGCGTGTCCCATCGATGAAAACAAATGGTAGTCGGAAGGAGACAAGTCCGGTGAATACGGCGGGTAGGGTAGCAGCTCCCAGCCAAGTGTTTTGATTGCATCCTGAACCCGTTTTGCTTTGTGTGCAGGTGCATTGTCATGGAGCAGAATAACCTTGCCGTGTCTTCTGGCCCATTCTGGTCGTTTCTTGATCAATGCATAGTTCAAATTTATCATTTGTTGTTTATAGCGATCATCATTGACGGTTTCACCAGGTTTTAGGAGCTCGTGGTACACCACACCTTTCTGGTCCCACCAAACACGCAGCATTGTCTTCTTGCCGAATCGATCTGGTTTTGCAGTCGATGTTAATGGATTTTTAGATAAAACTAAAAATGAATTAAGTATGATAGCCTAAACATAGTTTAAGCTATACATATATATATGGCGCAGTGAAAAAAGTTCCTCAAAACAGTTTTCTTGATGAAAATTCATTGTCCATTGAAAAAGAATCATGTTGGGATATAGTGGGATTAACATTGAAAAGAGCTTATAGATCAAGTATAATTTTTTATAACAATATTTAATATAATAAAAAATTATATTTAATTTTCAAAAATAACTGTAAACTATTTTGTATTCATTATATACATAATAATAGTAGTTTACAATAATATATATATATATATATGTATATAAATTATTTAAATATCAGCATTGTGTAAAACCATTCGCAAGAACGCAACCATCAATAACTAGATGTGCGTGTTATTTGCAACACTCTATGTGTCTTTCACAGTTTATTTCACAGTTTATTGTTTGGCATTCGTCGTTTTGTGTTTAGATTCGTTGCGGATAAGGTCTTTTTAATATTGTTGTTATGATGCCGCCAGAAGAAGCAAAATCGGAAAAAAGTGTTGTTCAAAAAACAAATTATGACGGTGATTAATTTTAAAAAAGTTACTATAAATTTTTATGTCAAAATTATTTATTTCGACAAATTTCAGAAGGAATTCATGTGGCAAGCACAGAATACGCTTTAACTAGTAAACAAGATGTGGATTCCGAAGTGCCAAAGAATCCGAAATTGAGTTCTTCATCCTCTGAAAAGGTGTTACAAGGTAGTCAAAATCAGACACGCGAGAAACGTGTACAATCACCAAGGTCATACATCTCGTCTGCCTTCGAGGATCCATTGTCGCCATCATCATCAGTATCCCAAAACATTGGCAGTGATGCAACATTCGAACCTACAATTGATATGATGGTAAATGATTTTGATGATGAACAGACTTTGAATGAAGAAGAGGCTTTAGCTGCATTAGAGTCACAAGATCCGCAAGAAGAAATTGACACGCTAAAAGAAGAAAGTGAAATTCCACTAGAAGAGTTATTGGCTAAATATCAAGCAATGATTGAACCTGTTGAATTGCCACGCAAAAAACCAAAAAAAACTAACAAGCGCGTTAAAATTAAAAATATTGCATCAGCTAAGAAGGATGCTAGTAATGATAAAATTAGTGGAAAAGAGAAGGAATCAAATAATTTAATAAACGAAATGAATGATGAAGATGAAAGTGCAAGCAACGATATTTTGAATGAATCAATTGAAGATGATCTTAATAATCAAACAACTTCCCACATTTATGAAAACGGAGTCGAAAAGAAGTTATTGAAGCGCTCTCATCTATTAGATTTATATCCTGAACAATCTTTTACACCAGTTGCTGATGAGGAACGAGAAAGAGGTGAAGACTAAAACAGTTTTGAGAAATTGTTAATTGTTACTTTTATACTTATTTACAGAGGTAAAAACAATTTACTTTGATGATGACTATGATGACGATTATGATGATGAAGACGAAGAAACTGTTAAAAAAACTATAATGGTGGGCAATGCTTATCAGGCTGTCATTCCGTTTGGTCTATCACAATATGGTGATATTTTACCTTATGAAAATGAGGATAAGCTCATATGGGAACCAACTCAAGTCAGCGAACAGGAAGTGGAAGAATATTTGTTAAAAGTGCGTGATATAAAACCTATGTTGAGCGATGATCAATTAAAATCAAAGCCTACTGATGAAGATAGTGCACGCGATTTAAAAATTTTAACAAATACTATAAATACTATGCCAAATGGCAAAGAAAATATACCACAAAAATCGAATGAAAACAAGCCAATAGCTCCTACATCTTTAGACAACGATTCTAACGGAATAGTGAAAGATAATGAACAAGCTTTACATTTATTGGTGCAATGTGGTTATGATTTCAATGAAGCTTTAAGGCGTAAAAGATTAAATGTTGTTCCATTAACTGGCTCAATGAGTTTATGGTCAGAAGAAGAATGCCAAAAATTTGAGGAAGGTATACAGAAGTATGGAAAAGATTTTCTGAAAATACGACAAAATCAGGTAATACATTAAATTTTATATGAATCAACATTTTTAAGAATTTTTACTCTTAGGTACGAACACGTACAATGAGAGAACTGGTACAATTTTACTACCTTTGGAAAAAAAGTGAACGTCGTGATAATAATTTTGCGAATTCCAATACAGTTGATCATATGGATATTTACTTAAATGAAGAGGACGATTTTGGACCACATAATAATGCTGCTTCATATATGTCTGGATTGATGACAACCACAAATAATGGAAGCAATACTCGTAAAATTCCAAATAATCTTCAAAAAAGTTTTCTTATTATGGCTGGCAATAGTGCCGATACTGTATCCAATACGCAAGCAAATACAAATACCTCAAAAATTGCAAATAAGAAACAAAAAAACGTTCCAACAGATGAAACATCATCAGCTATATCAACGTTTAATACGAAATGATATAAGATAATGTAAAAATTGTAATTAAGCTTTACCTTGTTTTGTGTTTATTCTTTTTTATACAATATACATATATATATATATATTTGTTTTTAAAATTATGTGTAATACAGCATTCTATTCCAGTTCAAAGTTTTGTGAATCATTTACAAAGTAATAAATATTTAAAATACATATTTCTTGCAAAGAAAAAATAGAAACTATTTTCTTGATATAAAGAAAAATTTTAATTTGAAAGAAAAAAAATATTTTAAATATAGATAAAAGACCATTACGTGTGTGAAGAAATAAGTTAAATTTCAAAAGTACATCATAGCTGACCATAAATTTTTAAAATGCATTTAATTTATGAGTAAATGCAAACATCATCGAAGACCAAATGCCGTTTACCAAAACCTAAGTAGTTTTATACCGATTATAAGAAAAATTTGACCTGAATAGTGTGGGAATATAGAAAATTTAATTATTTAAAAACTATGTTTGGATTAATATAGGATTAAATGCATGTCAAAAATGTAAATGCACTAGCCGTATAAAATTTATCGATTTAATTGCATTAACGAAAAATTAAAAAATTCTTTTCAGTGTACCAATTACAAACACACAACATATGAATGTTGAACTAAATATGATAATTTCTCTTTCTTTTAGGGATGGTGTATAATTTCTCCATGCAAGGATATAGTAAATAAAATAGCGAGTGTGTATACGCATAAGTCTAAATAAATTCTGGATAAATGACAGGAGCGTTTTGTAATAAGTTTCTTGTTTTGAATGTTAACAAAACCGGTTTCTACAGTGGAAAATCAATATATGTATGTACATCTGTGAATACGTCATATTCATTAAAAAATCAATTTCGTGCTAGTCAAAAATTATTTATGGTTTTAATTAACAAAATAATTACATAATTTAAATAATTTTAATGAAATACAATATACATATATTTTATTATATATTACAATACGTGTATTAATATAAATTGAAATAAACTAAGCCGATAAGGTGTGATTTAGTTTTGTCTCGTTTGTTGGGATCTGTGTACAAATTCAACACTATAAGACAGATAGGCGACAACGTCTCTGTACTATATATATTAAATTATAAAATATGATGAATGACATATAGATATATATATATGTTACTGTTATATATATATTTTATGAAAATGAAAAATATTCGAATGTTTAATGGATATGTATTATAATATATATGTATATTTAAAAATAAATCTATAATTATTAAATATCAATAACATTTTTCATATTATAAAATAAAAATTATTAATTAATTGTTATTACGACCTATTTACATTAAGTTTTTTGATTATTACCGGGCTTAGGTGATTTATTTAATACATAAAATTATAAAAAATTAAAGTAAGAATATATATTTAATCAATTTATATATATACATATATTTTTTTCCAGTAAATATACTCAATTAAGTAATTATCAATTAAGTAAATAAGTAATATCATATAAAATAA